AACTCCATCACTGATGGCGATATGACTGGGTATGGATGGCGATATGATGGTACAGATTCGCATTTTTTCCCCCCTCACGTATCCAGAAACTCCGAGTTTCCGAACCAGTCTCGGCCCATATAGTTTGGATATGAGGGGTATCACTGTACTTCATATTTCCAGGACTCGAGTCCAGCTAACCGGTTTCACTGAATCCCTTAACAAAATATTACCCTGCTCACACTCCAACAGCTCATCAGGTACCAAAAACCATTCGTCTCCATTCACTCCCATCTAACACGCTCACGCCCACAAAAGCTCCTGTACCCTCTCCCTCCATCCTTTTCGAGGATGACCCCTGCCCTGCCTTCCTTCCTTTACAGTCATTCTATTTTGTTCCATTCTCTCTAAATGACCAAACAACCTCAATAGCCCCTCTGACTAATACTTTGTTACTCCACACCTAATTTCTACACTATGAATTCTCTACATAATATTTACACCACACATTACCCTTAGACAGTACATCTCCACTGCCTCCAGCCACCTCCTCGCTGCAGCATTTACGACCCATGCTTTACTCTCATAAAAGAGTTTTGGTACCACTATACTCATGCATTCCCTTCTTTGCCTCCATGGATAATGCTTTTTGTCTCCAGATACCTCAACGCACCACTCACCTTTTTCCTTCATCAATTCTTTGGTTAATCTCGTCCTTTACAAGCCCATCCGCTGACAAGTCAACTCCCAAATATTTGAAAACATTCACTTCTTCCATACTGCTTCTATCCAATGTGATATCCAATTTTTCTTTATCTAAATTGCTTGATACCCTCATCACCTTACTCTTATCGATGTTCACTTTCAACCTTTACACACCCTCCCAAACACGTCCACTAACCTTTGCAACTTTTCTTTAGAATCCCCCAAAAGCACAGTATCATCAATAAAAAGGAAAGTAATTGTGTAAACTCCCATTTTGTATTTGATTCCCCATAATTTAATCCCACCCATCTCCCCAACACCCTAGCATTTACTTCCTTTATGACTCCATCTATAAATATGTTCAACCATGGTGACATTACACATCCCTAAGACCTACTTTTACTTGAAAGTAATCTCCATCTCTCCTACAGACCCTAACTTATGCCTCACTATCCTCATAAAAAAAGCTTTACATCTGCCACATTGCTTCCCTATGCACTATCATATACCTTTTCTAAATCCATAAATGCAATGAAAACTTCCCTACCTTTATCTAAATACTGTTCACATATATGCTTCAATGTAAACACTTGATTTACACATCCCCTACCCGTTCTAAAGCCTCCTTGCTCATCTGCAATCCTGCTCTCTGTCTTACCTCTAATTCTTTCAATAATAACCCTGCCATACTATCTGGTATACTCATAATTTTGGGTCTCTTTTGTCCCCCCTTCTCTTTGTACAAATGAACTATACATGCTCTCTGCCAATCCCTAGGTACCTCCCCCCCTTTCATACATTAAACAAAAATACCAACCACTCCGCTATATCCCCCCCATTTTTAACATTTCTGTCATGATCCCGTCAGTTCCAGCTGCTTTACCCCTTTTCATTCTACATAATGCCTCATGCACCTCCCCCACACTCACATCTTACTCTTCTTTACTCCTAAAAGATGTTATACCTCCCTGGCCTATGCATGAAATTACTGCCTCCCTTTCTTCATTGACATTTAAAAGTTCCTCAAAGTATTCTTCCCATCTATCTAATACCTCTAGCTCTCCATATACTAACTCCCCTATTCTGTTTTTAACTGACAAATTCATTTGTTCCCTAGGCTTTCTTGTTTATCTCCAAAATTTTTTCTTATTCTCAGCAAAAATTTCTTGACAGTGCCTGTCCCACTTTATCATTTGTTCTCGTTTTGCACTCTGAAGTCTTCACCTTTTTTTTTCTCTCCATATACTCTGCCCTTCTTATATCACTTCTACTTTGTAAAACCTCTCATACGCTACCTTTTTCTCTTTTATCGCATCCTTACCTCATCATTCCACCAATCACTCCTCTTTCCTCCTGCACCCACCCTCCTATAGGCACAAACTTCTGACCCACATTCTAATACTGTATTTTTAAAACTATCCCATCCCTCTTCACCCCCTAACCCCCCACTACTCATACTTGCACTGGTCCACCTTTCAGCCAATAGTTGCTTGTATCTCACCCTAATTTCATCCTCCTTTAGCTTAATAACTTTCACCTCCCTCTTACTGTTGCCATTTTCCTTTTGTCCCTTCTACCTCTTACTCTAACTCTACTTGATAATGAGTTGATGTATCCGTTGCCCCTCTATAAACATGTACATCCTGAAGCCTACCCATCAACCTTTTATCATGTTTATATGTTACGTAGCATGTTTATTATATAATTTTGAAAAAATATCATAGATGGATTATTGAAATGTTTACATTAACATAATATATGACAATTAACCCTTTCAGGGTCCGTCCCGTAGATCTACGGCTTTATGTTCAGGGTCCAAACCGTAGATCTACGTCATGAGCTCAGCTCAGCTCTGATAAACTGTGAGTGGTACATTTGGGCCTAGATATGAGAGAATACATCTATGTGGTATGTGTGCACCACATAAAACAGATCCTGCAGCACACTGTGTATGTGAGAAAAAAACTGAAATCATGATTTTTCGATTAAAACGGCGACTTTGCAGTGTTTTTTCGTATGTTTTTTATAGTTGTATTTGTGATTTCTTGGTCTTATTTGATAGAATGGAAAACATATTACATAAATAGAGATGATTTTTATTGGTTTTAGCAATGGAAATGGCTTGAAACTGAGCTCAAAGTAGCAGAAATGTTAAATTTTTGCCGACATTCAAGAGTAAACAAACGACCTTACACGTCTAATACACGCCAGCTGGTGGGTCTAATATGCATTCACAAATATGGTGATGATATTTATACAATTATTACAGTATTGCATAACAGTAAATCTTCTATTTTTTGGTGTGAATAAAAATTCATTATGTGAATAAAAAATCAAAATGGAATTCATTTGTAAAGCCTCAAAACGTAACTAATGAACAGAGGAAATGTTAGTTTAGTTCCAGGAATACCTACATTGTTTATTCTGGACCCTATTTTGAAATTGGAATATTTTGAACTTTGTGTTAAATTGGCCAAATTAACAATTTCCGATCACTTTAATTTGTAGTTGAAACAGTTGACTTGCTGATTTCTTGTGCTCAATCGATAGAATAGAAGTAATACTAGTGAAATAGCTAAGAATTTGGTTGACTGGAACAATGTAATTGGCCTAAAATGGGAGTCAAAGTCGGCAAAATCGCCGATTCGTAAATATCACTGACACTATCAAAATTCGCGAGAGCATAATTTCATCAATTTTCCATCAAATTTCGTACTTTTTGCTTTATTACCTTCACAAAAAGATTCTCTACCATTTCATAAGAAAAAATAACAAATTTTTTTTTCGAAAATTCTTGGACACTGGGGCACCACTTCAGATTTGGGCCTTGGACCCTGAAGGGGTTAATGCATCTTGGAGTGATTATTATTGTATATCATTATTATTAATATGGCATCTTCAAGACTAACAAGACACTCACAGTGATTTTAATGTGTACCTGCACGCTAACACAGTGTGTAAGTTTATGTAGGTACAGGTACACAATTATAATTATCAGAGTACAGTGGACCCTCGGTTTTTGTGTTTAATCCATCCCAGAGATATCGGCAACAACTGAAACCATTTTCTCCATAAGAAATAATGTAAATCCAATTAATCCGTTCCAGACACCCAGAATTATTAACAGAAATTTTTTTTTTTACCTTAAAGATAGATTTACATGCACAAAAGAATGAACATTCAACATGACGCTTACCTTTATTGAAGGCTGTTGTAGGTGAATGGAAGACAGGGAGGAGGGGAGAGGGAAGAGAGGTTATTCTTGGGAAGAGGAATCCCCCTCCATAAGGACTCTAGGTACCAGGTCCTTATGTGGGGGTCACTTCCCTTCTTTGTTTTTTAATGCTACAGATCTTTCCATCCTACTCTACATTGCACACATCTCCATTACTGCCACTATCACAATCACTACTACCCTCTACCACCCTCACAACCACTAGTACCCTCTACCACCACCACTTTCGTATTTTCCTACAAACTTTCTGGAATTCTATCATGTTTCTCACATTCTTTACCAAAGGACTGGCACTAGAAGCTTTCTTTGGGCCCATGGTGGCTTATTTAGCAGTCACACACAATAAACAAGTGCTAAAAACAATGATTACAAAATGTTTCGCATGACCTCGCAGGATATGTACACTCAACGAGAAACATGACACTGCCCGAGAATGCATGGGGAGGCAGCTTTGTGCGTGCTCTGGGCACTGGACAGGTTCCGCACCATCGACGAAAATGGAACCAATATTTTGACAGAGTCGGCAATAACAGAGATCAACGAAAACGGAGGGTCCACTGTATGTATAAAATATGAAATAATTTTAAAATACTTGAAATTTGGGAATGTTTCCAGACATATTGGAGAGATGCGGATTATTATGATCATGGGGGAGCGCTAAACTCATAGGATTGTACAGCACACATGGGGGAGGGATGGAAGGTATTCAGGCTCAATTCAGGGAACCAGAGCACAGATCCAATTCCCTAGATCAAGAGCCCCTCACCATTATTATAATAAAAAGTGCTAAACCTACAAAGCCCCTCACCAGCGGCAAGGAACCTTCCTTGATGGGTTGGAGAGACGCGGAGCTCACGGATAACAAAGAGTGGTGCACTTTGACAGTATTAGAAAGTCAAGTGGTGGGAGCCATATAGAGTTTTTTCATCAAAATTTGAAATGTCTGTATTGGTGAAATGCCATAAAGCAGGGCCCTACTGTATTAATTAGAACATTTAAAATCTCTTCATAAGGGAGAACTACAGTTCATATTAATTATATGTGAGACCTGTTACAGTAAAGGTTCAAAATAAAAAAAAAAGTTTATTCACTTTTATTATGGTTAATCATTATCTATGACATATTTATACACAACACATGACAAAAATCTTCCCGCAAACTAATTATTGTCATATAAAAGAAATTATCCTACTGATGTTATAGGAAAGTAGCAATCACTATATATATGACAGTCTTAGACGTAGGTAAAGTGAGCTCATCATACAAACAGGCACTGGACTGGGTCTCCAGGTATGGGGTATTATTAGTTATCGACTCCAATGTGGAACAGCCACAGTAGTGTTCTCTGCCAAGGTAGAAATCTCAGCTTTACTTTTACAATCATTTTCTGAGTTGAGTTATGTTTACTGCACCATTTTCTTAAGCTTAGGATAGACTGCAGTGTTAGACCAAACACCAAAGTTGCTTGTTCCCGTGTTGATCTTTGATACACTGTATATGATACTTGAAGGAGTTATAGTGTTGTTACTAAAATTACTGACAAGAGCAGAGAACATTTATATTCTGAGTGTGGTGGTAGTTTTCATAAATATAGAGGACATAAATGAAGGATGATTAACCAAAAAATCACATTTCATGGAAGGAATTTGGTTTAGTTTTGGGTTATGACTAATTTTGAGTCAAGTTGAAAATTTGCTAGTTCCATATCTGTACAAAACTGATTTACTCTCACTAAAGTGTTGGGCAAATAGTATTTGATATTTATGGACGCAATGAACTACAAAAGGAAAGGCACTAACACACCTGACAATTGTTGTAATATTAGCTATCATTGATGGCAATATTAAAATTTAAAAGCTGCTTCAGTTAATTTTCGCGTATGAAAAATTTTCTGAAGCTTCAGCAAAAGTTTGGTTTACAAATTATCCTTTACAAAATATCTACCAGAAAAAATTCTCACTATAACAACCCTCGAATATCATAAAGTTGATTATTAGAAAAGAAACAAACCCTTGTGCCTCCAACCAAACTTAAAGCCATAGCCATAAAAACTATGGAGCTGTGGAGAAATGAGCATATTTATCTATTACTAACCTTTATTCCCTTTAATATGGTTCTCCAACCAGTTATTAGTAAAAATGGCCCACCTACTGGAAAAGTGACTGAATAGTAAACTTAAAGCTAAATTTATAATTTTCATGTTATTTTACAATAATAATCTTGAGAATTATTGTAATATGATATGTCCTCTGATATTTACAGCAGAAAGTAAACTTAGATTTCCATGCACAGTATCTTATAATTAAATTTTAAGACATATATTCCACATTTATCTTGAGTGTTATGTGACTAGAGTAATAATTTAGAATTATTTTATACATCTTAATATTAATAATCTGATTTTTTTTCTAATCAAATATTATATGAAATACATGATAGCATTTAACTCTTAAACTGTCCAAACGTAGATCTACGTTCACATGCGTAGCGCTTCGAACGTAGATCTAGATTTTTTTTTTACATTTGAAAGTATGTAAAATAAAATGTAGATCTACATTCGGAGTGCTCTGCATGCAAACATAGATCTACATTTGGATAGTTTAAGGGTTAAACATAAGAAAATGTTCCCTACAGCTTTGAAAAAGAACTAAATAAAGCAACCATACTGAAAGAAAATTTTTATGAACTAAGTTAGTACTGTTGCTGTGAAGCATATCACTTGCATTACCCAAAGAAACAATGCGAAGAATAAATGTTAATCGTCAATATAAATATCTGCCACAATCTTCAACGATATATCTGTAAGCACAGAATGTTACACAGTTTAGGCAAAATCTTCCCAGGCTAGTATAAACAATCATTACACTAGAGCATTTGTAAATAAAAACTTTTTTCAAATATGTAAGATATGCCTATTCCTTGCTTGCAAAAATAAATTTGAGGTAAACAAATATAATTTTTAGTAATTATCAAAGAGTGCTAAACCTAGAAGGGTCATACAGCGCTTTTTTTTTTTTTTTTTTTTTTAGTAATACATTGCTGATTATACAAAGTAAAATAATGTATGTACATACACAATGCTCCATTAACAAAACTGTATAAATTCTTTGAGACTATTGGGCCGAAGTTTTTAAAAATGAAGCAGCTAAACTTATCACTTGTAGCTGGAAAGTATCTAATCTTGATAACCATAAACACACACAGTTAAGTGCTCCATATATAGTTAAAAAATAATGGCCTCAGTCCTTTAATGTAATTGAAAAATATAAAGCAAAAGGGCTAAATAAAGGCTAAAGAAGTATGTTGCATCCCGAGTTAACAAAATAATAATAAAAAAAAAACAAGCAAGCATGGACTAGGGTGATTTAGTTGAAATACTGATGTTTGCATGTGAAGACAATTATTTTTATTATAATCTAAAAGACGTACTAAACCTACAAGGGTCATACAGCATAGCAGGGCAGGGAAGGGTGCAGGGGTATTGGGTAGCAAGAAGGAGGGGAATTATTATTAAGGGGAAGACACACAAGGAAAAGTATAGTTGCATACAGTGTTCATGGCAGTAGTTATCTCCACATTTTAGCTGGCAGACCTAGCCACAGGTGCTATTTGCATAGCAGCATTTCTTAAAAATCAGGATTTTTACTCTTTATTAAACAAATAAAATTATATACAGTGCTTCATATAGGAAATGAACATTAGCAAACTGAAGAATATTAGATGATAATTATTTCACCACTACTAACTTTGTCAGTGACATTTCTGACTAAACCATCCAATTTTTTTAAAGTATTTGTGATGGTCAGTAATTAGTAAAAGGTGTAAAGCTCATTTTCTCGAGTTAAGAGGGGTGTAATATGCTTTGTATGACCAATTCTCTCTCTCTCCATATATATATATATATATATAGAGCATTATATGTGATACCTTAGCTCTACATCTTTATATATATACACACACACAGTATATTTTATACATGGTCTTTATTTTTTACTTTAAAAGTCACTTTCACACCAACAATTCAATAACCAATCATGTAAAACTAAAAGCATAAAAAAGCAAGTCTACAGTTGGGTACAAAACTGGTGTACCTGTACCAGAACTGAATGTAACCTGTTAGCTCAGTATAGTATTTGCATATTTTACGAATATTTAGCTTTTCCCCTATAATAGTGAAATTCCTAATATTTGATCATTTACATCATTTAGGGTTAAAACACATTTCACCATTTAAATAAAAAAATCCATCTTTCCTTTATTAGTAGCAAATTCTAATGACTGTAGTCTTGTTCCAAGCTATAAGGAAATAATAATTAATTGTTTAGCTATGTACATCAGACATGACTACAAGGTTATTGGACAGTGATCATAAAATCTATAGGTTTTTTCTTTCACTAATATTCAAGCTTTCTTCATCATACCTTTTTAAAAAGTCATGTCACATTAAGTCAAGAAACTTTAGGTGCTGACCTGTCAGCTACATGTTTGGCTCTCCTCAGTGTAGTTCCACGCTTTATCTGATCTAAAAGTGACTCACGGAGAGCAGCCGATTCTGCACTACTTTTCTTCTCATTACCCATAGTTTTGCTTGCAATCCACTGACGTACTTTCGAAGCCTTTTCACTGGCTCCTGATCCTGAGCGTTGAACCTGAGCACCTGGAGCACTTCCATTTGGATGAGGTTTTAAGTTGGCTGAAGGATTTCTTCTTGAACGAAGTCGCGGTGAACCAGAGGAAGTCATACTTTCTACACCTTGTTGCCGCTGAGAGAGCTTTTCGTTTAATGACTGGAGAAATGCTTGTTGATTCGGGTCTTTATTCATCCCTATACCTGGCTGGTAAACAATGCTCTGTATATCATCATAAGTATTTATTTGTTTTTGAAGTGGTTGTTGTTGTAACTGGTGCAAGTTAGGTTGACTAAATGTTGAATGTTGATATAGAGGTGACTGGTACTGCATATGCTGATGTTTATTTAAATATATATGATCTTGTTTGCTTATTTGCATTGTTGGATAGTGTACTGGAGATTGAGATGGACTATCCATAGTCATGCCTTCTTGAACTGATCCTAAACGTGCACGACTCATTCGTGGTGACTGGCTGCCTTCCCTAGATGTTTGTTGGTACTGTTTCTGGATTTGTTTGGAATGCTGTTGATTATTGATTTGGGCAGCAAGTTTGGCATTCAAGGTAGTCATAAGGGATGCTCTAGCATCCTCTAGAGAAACTCGACGTTCTTCCAGTATCTGGACTGCTTTGTGTGCTGGTTGAGTGCAGCGCAAGGACTGTGATCTGTGGTGAGTTACTGGAGAAGGTGGCTGATGTTGACTTTCCTGTAAGGTCTTTACAGTGTCACTCACTGTCATTGCACGTTGCTGCAAACATTTATCTTGGATGGGTGCTGGGGGACCAAATGGTTCACAAATATATCTTACTCCCTCTGGAGTAGAGAGATCTGGATCAGGAGCAGGGTTAGTTTCTTCTGTGCCATCTTCCAGCAAGAAAGCTGGAGGAGGTGGAAGATTTTCCAAAGACCCTACAGGTGTGCTGGACTCACTGTCTGTACGCTGAAGAGGGCTACCATTACTGCTTCCCTGACTAGGGCTTGCACTCCCACAAGTATTTACACTTCCATTTATACTACTGCTACTGCCAAGTGTGCTTGCAGAGGTAGTCAGGTGAGTGGGTGAGTTATTAAGACTTGTGCTAGATGATGTGTTTACATCAGTCAGTGATGCAACTGAAGGAACTGTTGATGTTATAGTCGATATAGATGGAGTTCGACGTACAGGAGGTGGAGGTTTTTGTCCGTGAGAGCCAGATCGTCTCAATGTTCCACTACGTGGTGAAGCTATACCTGAAAAATTTGAAATACACATAATTAGTATTTTCATATTAATAAGCACAAATACATCAATAACAGCTTGAAGAAACAGTCAAAATTTCAAGAGTATAAATGATCTAACTATTTAATAATATCCATGAAAAGTGCTAAACTTCCATGTGTTATTCAGCACTACACAGCCAAAAATACACATCTCAAGGAGTAACAAAGGAGTTGCAAGTGCAGAAAACAGAAGGAACAGTAAATAACTACAAAAGTGCTCTTCAATTAGTGCAATAGATCCAAATGTATTACATTTTTACATCGCAAATAAATTCAATACAGTAAAGTTGTAAACCATCTGTTCATTATAATGGACCAGTGGGCAATTATCTGTCTGTTAAATCAGAATAACATTAAAACTCACAGAAAAGCACTAAACTATTGTATACCTAATATAATACTATGCCACACTTTACAAACAATTCAATTCAAAGTTTATTCTCTATAAGGATTACAATGCTGAGTTTACAGAATTTGGTTATTGTGTGGTTTACATGTAGTAAAATAATAATTACAGAGTGTACCACTAGAACGCCTAGCATGGCTAGGCATTTTGGGCAGACTTATATTAAATCTTAAGTTTAAAATATTACAAAATTATGAGATAAGTTGGTATTATGGCTAAGTGACTAAATACTAGTTGTGAGTTTAGCAATGTGAATGCTTTTGTTTTGGCACTATACGTAGTTTCAGTATTGGAGTATCACAGGCCAACTTATGACTAGTTAAGATTCATTATTTTGAGATTGAGATTGATATTTCTGTTTATGGTCAAATGGGTGAGTGAGTGTAACTGTGAACCACCAGGTGGTATTCGTATTATTAGTTGACAGGGTGTATCAGGGAGATAAGATGTTTTCTGATGGTAGTTTTGAAGGTGATGAATGTGTCTGCAGTTTTGGAATATACATAGAAAATAAAAAGCTAAAGTTCCTCCAGGTAGTCAGTGTATTTTGTCTATTATTTCAGAAGCCCATTATACTGAGGTCCTTCATATCTAGGATTTCTGTATCTTTTATACTTTTACCCATATTATTATATCAGTGCTATTCTAAAAACAAAGTTCTATGCTGTTATAAAGATCAGTGAGAGTGATATACAATTTCTTGAACAACAGATACATCATCCCTTCCTTCAACCACAGTACAGCTGAGGCATTCACTCCTACATCTGGAGTGCTTCAGAGTTCCTGTCTGAGTTCTCTATTGTTCAACATATATAGTCAAGGACCTTCCCAACTTAAGTACCAAGACACCATCATAAACCCAATTTGCTGAAGGTGTAATTAAAAAATGAACTAAAAACTGAACAAGGCTGCTAACTGGGTGACGTTAGCAGCCTTGACAAAGTACAAACTAACACTACTGGATGTTACCCAATATCAAATGAAAACAATGGAGGAATTACCATCAGGGACACTTCTATTGCCATCAAGAGTACCAACAAGATCTTGGGTTATGAAATTGATAAGACTACTGAACTCCAAATGGATTAGCTATAAAGTTAATTTGACAAAGTCAATCTCTGTTAGCTATATAGATTCAGACATTTTTACATGATGATATGCCCAGTTCTTGAGTATCCATGTGTGCCCCTGGCAATAACAAACACCGACATAATCTATAGCAATACACTGTACGACCCCAGTATGTTTAGAGCTAGGTTTTGGTTATAATACTAATAATAATGTATAACAAGTGCTTCTTCAGTTTGCCTTGTCTGATGCTGATGGCATCTACTCTACACAAAATGTCATCATCAGATTAGACAAACTCAAGATGTGCCAGCTGTACAATATGAATGCTTTTTACTTACCCAACAGGAAAAACCTACCCCAGTTGATCAACTCTGCAATGCACGTGATCCATAAACACACAAAATACATAGAATAACCTTCTAACAGAAAATGAAACTACATTTACAAGGATGAATTCCAAAGGTCAAGGACAGCGAACAGTCTACTAGAAGATGAAGATTAGATAACACTTGAACAAGTATACATGAAGAGTCAATATATCCATCACTTATGTGACACCCCTGATCACCTGAACTTTCCATACAACAACAAAACAGACCACTGAGCCTAGCCAATGCTAAGAAGCAAGATGCCTGCACTTGCAGTTTGCACCTACAATCCTCCTGAGCCATGACCTGCAACCTTAAGCCACGTGGCATTCAACCTAAATACATATATTTGTTGATGTAAAAAATAATTTACACATATCCATGACCATGTTCAAATTAAAAGTGGATGAGCCACATATCCCTTTAATTATTATTATTATTATTATTCCTCCTCCTCCTTCTTCTTCCTCCCTTCTCCTCCTCCTCCTCCTTCTTCTTCCTCCCTTCTCCTCCTCCTTCTTCTTCTTCTTCCTCCCTTCTCTCCTCCTCCTCCTCCTCCTTCTTCCTCCCTTCTCCTCCTCCTTCTTCTTCTTCTTCCTCCCTTCTCCTCCTCCTTCTTCTTCTTCTTTCTTCCTCCCTTCTCCTCCTCCTTCTTCTTCTTCTTCCTTCCTCCCTTCTCCTCCTCCTCCTCCTCTTTCTCCCTTCTCCTCCTCCTTCTTCTTCTTCTTCTTCCTCCCTTCTCCTCCTCCTCCTCCTTCTTCTTCTTCCTCCCTTCTCCTCCTCCTCCTTCTTCTTCCTCCTTTTCTCCTCCTCCTCCTTCTCTTCTTCTTCCTCCCTTCTCCTCCTCCTTCTTCTTCTTCCTCCCTCTCTCCCTCCTTCTTCTCTTCTTCTTCTTCCTCCCTTCTCCTCCTCCTCCTTCTTCTTCCTCCCTTCTCCTCCTCCTTCTTCTTCCTCCCTTCTCCTCCTCCTTCTCCTTCTTCTTCTCCTCCTCCTCCTTCTTCTTCTTCCTCCCTTCTCCTCCTCCTTCTTCTTCCTCCCATTCTCCTCCTCCTTCTTCTTCTTCTTCCTCCCTTCTCCTCCTTCTTCTTCTTCCTCCCTTCTCCTCCTCCTCCTCCTTCTTCCTCCCTTCTCCTTCCTCCTCCTCCCCTTCTTCCTCCCTTCTCCTCCTCCTCCTCTTACTCTTCTTCTCCTCCCTTCTCCTCCTCCTTCTTCCTCCCTTCTCCTCCTCCTCCTTCTTCTTCCTCCCTTCTCTCTCCTCCTTCTTCTTCTTCCTCCCTTCTCCTCTTCCTCCCTTCTCCTCCTCCTCCTTCTTCTTCCTCCCTTCTCCTCCTCCTCCTCCTATCTTCTTCCTCCCTTCTCCTCCTCCTCATTCTTCTCCTTCTTCCTCCCTTCTCCTCCTCCTTTTTTCTTCCTCCCTTCTCCTCCTCCTCCTCCTTCTTCTTCTTCCTCCCTTCTCCTCCTTCCTCCTCCTTCCTCCCTTCTCCTCCTCCTCCTTCTTCCTCTCCTCCTCCTCCTCTCCTCCTTCCTCCCTTCTCCTCACTCCTTCTTCTCTTCCACCTTCCTCCCCTCCTCCTTCTCTTCCTCCTTCTCCTCCTCCTCCCTCCTTCCTTCTCCCCCCACCTCCTCCTCTTCCCCCAACCCCCCCTTCCTCCCCCTCCCCCACCCTCTCCCCCCTCACCCACCCTCCCTCCCCCCTAACTCCCCCCCCAACCCCTCCCCCTCCTCCCTTTTAACCCCCCCCCCTTTTTAAAATCCCCCCTCCCCTCCTCCCTTCTCCCCCCTTCTCCTCCCTCTTTCTTCTTTTTTTCTCTCCCTCTCCTCCTCCTCCTCCATCTCTTCATCTTCCCCCTTTCCTCCTCCTCCTTCTTTTTCCCCTTTCCCCCCTTTTTTTTTTTTTTTTTTTAAATTTTCTTCTATTTGGGGCCCTCTCCCATCTTCTTCTTCTTTCCTCCTTCTCCTACCTCCTCCTTTCTCCCTTTCACCCTCCTCCTTCTCTTCTCTCCCTTCTCCTCCTCCTCTCTTTCCCCTTTCTCCCTCCTTCTTCCACCTCTCCTCACTTTTCCCCTTCTTCTCATCTTCCTCCCTCTCCTCACCCCACCACCTTCACCCTTTCTCATCCTCCAAACTCCACCCCCCCCACCTTTACCACTTCAAACACCCACCCACAACTTAAACCCCAAAAACAAACATTCCACCTCCACAATCAAAAGATTAAAAAAAAAAAAAAAAAAAAAAAAAAAAAAAAAAAAAAAAAAAAAAAAAAAAAAAAAAAAAAATTTTTTTTGAAGAAAGAAGAAAAAAAATTAAAAAAAAAAAAAAAAATAGGAAAAAAAAAAAAAAAAAAAAAAGGGAAAGGAAAAAAAAAATTTTAATTTTTTTTTTTAAGAAAATAAAAAAAAAATTTTTTTATTTTTTTTTTTTTTTAAATTAAAAAAAAAATTTTGGGGGGAAAAAAAAAAAAAAATTTAAAAAAAAAAAAAAAAAAAAATAAAAAAAATTAATTTTAAAAAAAACCCCCCACCCTCAACACCTCCCAACCCCCACCAACTATCCACCCTCCCATCCCCTCTCCCCCTCTCCTCCTCTTCTCCTCCTTCACCCCTTCCACCCCCCTCCTCCTCCCCAATTAAAGAAGACTAATCAAAATATTTTAACATTACATTATTAATAACCTCAGTGATTAATATCCACTAATAACAATCAGTGCCTAAAAGTAAGTTTGGTTAATTGTTGCAAATTAAATTTTCAACTGTTAATTTTTAAGACCATACATACCTGAAAAAAATTATTTTAAAAAACTTGCTTTTTAGAACTCGAGTGCAAAATTACAACACATCACTATATAACATAATTCAAATAGTGATATCCCAGCATGGCACAAATGAAATTTTAAATGTGAACACAATAAAATTCAAATAAAGTTATTATCACTTTCAACAAAGACATGGGTTAGAAAATGAATAATGTAAAAATTCAGCTATCTAAAATTATAACTCTTTCACACCAGGCACAAAATTTTTTTAACTAAGCAGACTCTGTGTCAGTTGTGTCTGTCTCCTGTGTCATCTCCTGTGTGGTCTGTGTCTCTGTGTGTGTGTGTGTCTCTCTATGTTAGTTTGTGTGTG